ATGTATCAACACGTTTTTTCATCATAATTTTTATTCCTGAAATGATTTAATTGGTGCCAAAGCGTATTTATTTGTCAAATTTCTAACAACCTGTTGATTTTACCAGTTACAATATCAAGCTAAAATTGAAATAAAACAAAATATTTTTTATAAAATTTCGTTTTTTATTTAGGATATTAACGTCACTATAAAAAAAAACACATTTTTATAGCAATGTTTAAAATATCAAAATATGTTAACAGAACTTCATAAAAATGTATTAGGCCAGGAAACGAAGCACTAAACCTACAAGTTTGCATGCTGTGCAAAAAGAAAATGCATTTCTAAAGTGCATAGAAAATGAAAATGCTACCTAGAGCCCAGTGTGGACCTCGTCTCCTGGAGTTTTATGTTATTTTTATTCGAAATTAATTAGAAGTCATTACTCGGGGTTTTTTGGGTTGCTTATCAATGAGTATTACGACGGTAATTATCTCCCAGGTGTCTTGTGTCCAGCGTGGATCTCGTCTCCTGAAGTTTTTTGTTAATTTGTTATGTACGAGTTTTATTGACATAAAACTCCAAGAGACGAGGCCACCCTTTCACCAAATACCTTTGAGACCAACGCCGTCGTCATATTGGTGTTCAATAACCCGAGTAATGACTTTTGACTGATTTCGAATGAATGTAACATACAACTCCAGGAGAAGAGGTCCTCCTTCCACCAGGTAGCACAAGAAAAATCGATGTCATTATATATGTATTCAGTGACCCCCTAAAACCTCCGAGTTATGAGTTTCGACTGATTTCTAAAAAATGACATAAAACTCCAGGAGACAAAGTCTGCACTAAGCACCAGTTAGCTCGATGATCATTTTCGTTACCATATTCGTATTAAGTGACTTCTAAAAAACTCGAGTAATGATTGTCGGCCGATTTAGAATGAAATTAACATATTCTAGTAGACGAGATTCATCCTGGGCAACAGCTTGTTGTTCGAGGACCATCGTCGCGCGTCATTCAACGATCATCTCGTATTCAGTTACCTCGAAAACCTCCAGAGTAACAAAATTGACTTTGAATATTTACAAAAATGCCACTATGACTGTTAAAATACAAGATAAAACCGGACCAATAAATATAAAACGTGGAATACGTTGGCAAGGAGATATATTCTTACTGAAATTATTCATAACGGCATTAAAGTATGCCTTTAAGTCCTTATTACAGATAATTTAGGAGAAGCCACAGATATGTTAAATGAATTGGACTTTGCATGTTCGAAGGTGGGCCTCAGAATGAATTTGTCCAAAACGAAGTTTATGACAAATATGGCCACAGATATGTTAAATGAATTGGACTTTGCATGTTGGAAGGTGGGCCTCAGAATGAATTTGTCCAAAACGAAGTTTATGACAAATATGGTTCCCAATAACCATTTAACTATTCAAATCAAAATGGTAGAATCCAAAGACGAATTCCTTTATCGTTGGCAGCCTTAGGACCAACATACCAATTAGTCTCAAAAGATAAGTATTTGACCAATGTGTATTACCGGTCATGACTATGGCTTCGAAATTGAGAGTGGCACAGAGACGCATGGAACGATCTATGCTGGAAGTGACGTTGCTGGACCGAATAAGAAAAGAAGATCTGCGAGTATTGCTGATGTTGTGGAACGCATAGCAGAACTTAAATGGAATTGAGCAGGACATGTTGCGAGAATGCATGACTCACGATGGACGAGCAAAATTATATATGGAGGCCAAGAGCAGACAAACGTAGCAGAGGAAGACCACCTAAGTTGGCTAACGACATCAGGCGTATCACGAAAAATTGGCTACAAAGAGCACAAAATCGCAAAGAATGGAGGAGTTTAAGGGAGGCCTATGTCCAGCAGTGGACGTGATGAATGAAGGCTGGATGATTTTAAACAAAATTTAACCCATTTCTGTCGATATTTTCCGACTTGCAAAATTTTCATTTTCTATGTACTTTGGAAATGAATTTTCCTTATGCACAAAATGCAATTTCCATTTTACCACCATGAATTTTATTCACAAACTTTCGTGATAGTTTCCCGAATCGAATGCACAAAGTTGCACAGCGATTCATCTTGCTGCGGAAAATTGGTAGGTTTAGTACTTTGTAGTGCTTTATTTCGTAGGCTATAGCCCAATTTTGGTTCTTAGATCTTTCGTTACTCTCTAGTCGTCAGAGACGAAAGTGGCACTGAACCTCAAAAAATAAAAAAAAATGTTCCGTAGCACTTTTTCTGTAGAATGAACCGTTCTCACAGAAACGTTTGAAATGAATATTTTAAATAAAATTTGAATCAATTTTACAGTAAAATGTGTGTCCCATCGACAACAATCAAAATGCGTTTTAAGTTGGGTCCAGGTTTCGAGTGCAATTTTTGATTTTTTGTCGCAAATGAAGTCAGTGTCTTTAAAGCAGTTAAATAAATAAACGTTTCGCGATTTTTGCCATTTTTAAGATTCTCAAAATGTAACGATCAATAAAATGTATCAGTTCCATTGTCCGGACGCTGCGGAATTTTCATTGGTAGAGGCTAATCTTCAAAACTTATAACATAAAATTTCGATTTTGAGTTTTGGCAACAAATAGGAGGCATTTGAAATATGTCTTTGAATTAAGATTGATTAAGTGGATGTGCGTGTCTAGTTCTCTAGATCTAATTTTCGTTGATTAGTCCAAATATCGTCCTTAAATTTTTTGTCTAAAAATGTTCTTACTTTTTTAAATGGTTAATGTAAAAACTTCTTCTTCTAAAGATGCCTATCTCCTTGTACGGACCACATTGGCCATATTTTGTTTTTACAGCAACATGAAATTGAATAGTTGACGATAAAACAGACCATTTAAAAACTAAGAACAGAAATTGGCTCCAGTTGGAAAATAAGCTAAATATTTTATACACTTAATGTTATTTAATCTATTGCTTGAATCTAATGGCTTAAAATATATCAACGGGGATACTTCTTCGGCCTTTATGAGTCTATTATATTATATTATCTATTATAATCTGCAACGAATAGCCGTCTCCTTTAAGCATTTTCACGGCGTTTACGAATTAGAGATAAAAAGATAACAGGAACCACAAAAATGAAAATATACCAGATAGTTACAAGACCAAGACCAGTATGCTTCCAAAGCAACCACCCTTACAGAAGACAGGAGTAACACTTTAAAACATTGGAAAGAAATACAATAAAAATAGTAGGTGCAAAGAAATCAAACAAACGTAGAACAAGGCCATAAATGTGTAGTTCAAGAATGGGTAAAATGAGAACTAAGAAGATGGTATGTGCATTAATAAGTGAAAAAAGAGGGTGATAATGAAAGTGTGCAGTAGTATTAAAATCAGAAATAGGTGCCAAAAAAATTCACTATAGATAGATGAGTCAACAGATGTAGCTAGGTTGTCAATTTTAACAGCATTTGTGCGGTATCAGCACTTGGAGTATTTTCAAGAGAATCTACTTTTTTGCAAACCATTGACAACTAACACAACTATTGCCGAAATTTTCAAGTTAATAGAAAGCTTTTTTATCAGATCACGACCACTGAATGCAAGGCTGTTTGGAGTGATGTGCGATGAAATAGGCAGTATAATATTATATATATATATATATATATATATATATATATATATATATATATATATATATATGTATGTATGTATTCGTCTTTACTTCTTCATACGGAAGTAAGGTGGCTTTCTTGCGGCAAATGTTTCTCTGAAATGAGAGCTGAAGTTAGAACCTTCCTAATTGACAGGAATTTTGCGTTGGGTGATCGATTGTGTAACAAGAATTGGTTATTTAAATTTGCATATCTAACAGATATTTTTAACAATGTCAATGAAGCTAGTCTACCACTTCAGGGAAAGGCAATAACTGTCTTTAACTCCAATAATAAAATACAAGCGTATAGGAAGAAATTAATTTTTTGGGCAGAATCGATGAAAAATAAAAATCTGAATAGCTTTTCACCAATCACAAAATTTAGAGAGGGGCTGAAGACTGGACATACCTGAAGCTGTTTTTGACGAGTCTCACACTCATCTGCTAAATTTACTTGAAAACTTCCATAATTATTTTCCTGAGAAATTCCACGATAAAATTAAAGAAAACTTCTGGGTTGCAGATCCATACCTTGCAATGTTAAAAAAGCTAGCTTCTTTAACATCTCAGCAGTACGAATGCCTAATAGATTTGACATATATCGGATTCTGCGATAAAAAACATTTTGATAGTAAATCGCTAGGAGATTTTTGGTGTCAATTCAAAGACGAACTTAAAATTTTGTCTGATAAAGCGAAAATTATTCTTCTTCCTTTTGCAACAACATACTTTGTGAAGCAGCATTATCTGCCAATGTGGCCACTAAAAGTATATATTCAGACTGAATGCGAACCTCACATTCGATTGCAGTTATCCCAAATTCAGCCAGATATTACTAACCTGTGCAAATCAAGGCAGACTCATTCTTCTTATTATTAAAATGAAGACATTGCGTTTTTTAAAATTTTAGAAATAGGATCTGTGTTTATTTTATTTTTGTTTTTCGATATATGTAATTAAATTTCTTATGTTTGCGATTGAAAAAAATTGAACAATTGAATAATTAAATAATTGAATAAACGTGTTGAATTGAATTGAATGAAATAAGTGCTTCCTACAGAATTTCTGTCCCGAACGCTTCTCCACTAAAAAACTTTAAGAAATGCTGCACTCGAGCATTATGTACCAGAAGCAATATTTGCATAAGAACTGTTGTTATCTGAGCCAACAATTAAGATGAGTGTAGCCGTGACTACTATCAAATTTATCAGTCTTTGGTGCATCGTTCTAAACTCTAGTTGTTAATACAATACATCTCTTAGATGCATATCTCATAGAAACTCAGCAAATACTCGTTGCTTATTCAATGTCATTAAATGTATTAATTTATGTGTGTGTATATATATGTTCTAATTGACTTCTTGTTGGTTTCAGCATTCACAAACTAAACCATGGCTCACCTACACCACAACTTCGACATGATCGAAGTTGAGTCTGACAGGGGGAAACCAAGGAAGAGAACCCAGTCGTGTCTGCGACAAAACGCCCTCACCATAGCCACAATGTTAGGAGTAGTCCTCGGCGCAGTTCTGGGCATCATCCTTCGATACTCCAGGGAAAGTTGGACAGATCGTGAAGTGGTTTATCTCGGGCTTCCAGGACAGATTTTTCTACGGATGTTAAAGGCGCTGATCTTGCCGTTGATTGTTTCGTCGTTAGTGTCTGCGATAGCAAGCTTGGACTTGTCCCTTTCGGGGAAAATAGCCGCTAGGGCAATAGCGTATTACATGACCACTACGTTCGCTGCTGTGGTGTTAGGTATGGTTGTTGTGGTTACCATGAGGCCAGGTGTGGGCCATAAAACTAAGGACTCGGATGCTAAAGAAGAAAAACGGGAGGTTTTAACTGTAGATACCTTATTAGATTTAATCAGGTAAGTTGATTTTACACATTAAGATTGTATTAGTAATGCTTGATTACAAGTTGGTTATTTGTATTCGTTATTTGAAATATTTTAATGTATGTGTGGAAATTTACCATTCTTCTTTTAGTAATGTTAGTGGTAAGATTTTCGTCCAATCCTGTAGTCTTTATAATTTTTCTGATTATTCTGACTTATATTCGATCAGATCTCCCAAACGATAAGGTTTCCAAAAAATTAGCGAAAGTACTAGTAGCAAAAGCTAAAGCAAAAGCGTGTACAACTCTATACGATTAACTAGAGAGGGTAAATTAAAAATATAAGAAATAATCAAACATATAGCAAAGAAAGCAGAAGGTTTTAATCAAAGAGCGATCGAAGAAATACTTGCCACAGTTTGGTAAATTAAAAAGTTGACAGAAAATCAGTTGGGTTAACGGAGACAATAATACCACCGATGATTATGAATTAAACATTTACAAGTTAAGATTATTTATAATTTTTATTTCAGAATTTTTAAAAATATTTCCAAGAATTAATTTTGGGATGTAATCCCATATAAAGTAATATTTTCTTTTTTGTAGCTGGTATATTTGAATCATAAATTCATAGCCCATCTAATCTAAGATCTTCATTATCTCTGAAGCTAAAGCTTATTGTTTTTGCTGTTCGTTGTTGTTTTCTACACCCAATTAAGAGTTTTTGTACCATGTACAAATTTGAAGAGGTATTTTGCTTGCTGCATCCCAAATATACCAGGGTCTCCTGTTGGTTGCCTTATAGTTTTTGTCGTTTGTGATCCAGAGCCTCGAAATCGCATAATGCATATTTAACAGTTTCCGGTTCCTTATGCGTATTTTATTCAGGTATTATCTTACTGGTGTATACTTGGTCAACATTCCTATTAATATTAGCATTGTATTCCTTTTCGTACCAAACAGTTCCTTTGTTCTCTTTGAACATGTCAACCAAAGATTTTCTATGTATTTGTTTTGGATTTTTCTAACAATATCGCTGACTTTCTCACATCCAGTCGTCTACAGCCCTTCGGACTGCAACCCTGTTTGCTCTCAGTACCACGGCTGGACCATTTGGTGTCTCACAGCTAATCTTTTTTAGCAAGTTGATCTGCTTTTTCGTTGTGTTCGAGGCTCTGTTGCCCAGACAAGCTCAACCTTGTTCCGGTCTCCCAGTTCCTTCAGTTCTCCGATGTAGTCCAACTCTAGTCTGGACATCACTGCCTGACATGCCACTGCCTTCAGTGCCAATTGACTGTCTGACAATTTATGGATCTGCTCTTTTTTAGAACTCTTTCAATATTTACGCTGAAATTCTCTCTCTTCAGTCCTGACCCCCCGAACCGAAGTAGTGGCAATCGTGAAGTCGTGTATTATCCTGTCTGTCATATTTCATATTTCCATAGGTCTTTCGCATATTCCTGTAATTTGGTCTATCCATCTTGTTGGTCTATCTTCGGCCTCCTACCTTTGTTGGGATAATACGTCTTTGCATGCGGTATAAATAAATCTCCATCTAGAAAATGGTGCAATTCCTCCCCGAGGCAAAGCTTCAACTTACTCTTGTATTTTTGGAGTATATTTCTGCCCATACGACCTCTGAAGTTTTGGATCCGTCTGTATACCAGATATTACCCTGTTTTCTTTCTCCATATATCCCTGTCTGGAATGTACGTCCTGTTTGAATTATTAAAACTGTATCTTTTTGTCATGTGGTTCGATTCCACATTAAAGATGTCCTTAGTCACAATCCTTTATTACGCATATGCCCTGTATCTTCATTGTGAATTTTCAGTGGCGAAGATTTTGTCTAACCAGTGCCTAACGAGTGTCTAACAGTTAACTTATGGCCAACACATATATGCGATACTTCGGTTGATCATCCAAGTAAAACTTCAGAGGAAAAGGTCAATATCAAAGGTAAATAGATCTAGACCGAAGGCTTGGCAAAAAATTCAAAAGCCTCAGAGTCACTATTTCGCGTGTACTTATGAACAATTGGATGGGAAATGGAAAGATGACGACACTCTAATATTACGAAGGCTTGGCAAAAAATTCAAAAGCCTCAGAGTCACTATTTCGCGTGTACTTATGAACAATTGGATGGGAAATGGAAAGATGACGACACTCTAATATTACCTCTAATATTACAAATGCGGGGTGGGTTAAATAGTATGTAGAGGTTATGTAGGATCTGCATCACGTCATTATGACGCTGTTAGCGGTTAGAGGTGAAAGCGCTATAATATACCTAATTATTCATGCGATAAATCGACTGTTCTAAAATAGTAGTTTTAAAGAGGTGGGACGTACCTATTACTCGCATCCATGTACGCCTCGCTTTTAATTTCTTAAACATTCCCTCTCGAATATATCAAACGGCTTTTCCACATCTATTTTGAGAATGTGATTCTTGTCTTACAACCGAGAAATTAATGCTTGCTAAAAGCCTAAATTATGCAGCTATTCAAGAGCCAGGTGTAAGAGTACGTTATTGTTTACGTTATAATGAAATAGTATATTACATAACGAGAGTTGTAAAAAGCTTATTACATGCGAGTAAAAAAGTTGCGCGCGGGCCGCGTAGCGGCGAGCGCAGTAATTTTACAAGCTTGTAATAAGCTTACAACTCAAGTTGTGTACTATACTTTTTCTACCATTATTTTCGTTTATAAAAATAAAAATTAAATTACCACTATATTTACACTGACAGATTAATAATTGTTAATTTGTCAAAATAACGTCTGTTTATTCGTTTCCATGGTAACTCGACCAACTGACTTACGAGGCTTATGTGATATTACACATTTTTATAAAACTGAAGCGTAATTTTTTTATTACGTGCTAGTCATTACGTGTCAGTATCTGTTATGATGCATTTACTCAGCATCCAAATAGTAGGTAATATACAATTTACTAGTAAGAGAGTAGAAAATAGTATATTACATAACGAGAGTTGTAAGAAGCTTATTACATGCGAGTAAAAAAGTTGCGCGCGAGCCGCGTAGCGGCGAGCGCAGTAATTTTACAAGCATGTAATAAGCTCACAACTCAAGTTCTGTACTATACTTTTTCTACGATTATTTTCGTTTATAAAAATAAAAATTAAATTACCACTAGATTTACACTGACATATTAATAATTTTTAATCTGTCAAAATAACGTCTGTTAATTCGTTTCCATGGTAACTCGACCAACTGACTTACGAGGCTTATGTGATATTACACATTTTTATGAAACTGAAGCGTAATTTTTTTTATTACGTGTTAGTCATTACGTGTCAGTATCTGTTATGATGCATTTACTTAGCATCCAAATAGTAGGTAATATACAATTTACTAGTAAGAGAATAGAAAAACATATATAACACGCGTTACAAACTATATATTAAAATAAAATATGAAAAATATTAAAAATAACAACTTCTATAATGCAATTTATTTACGACCATTTTTGTTTCATTGTTGTAAAAATTAGAATTAAAAGGGGCTGTTTAATTGAAATTCCTGTATAATTTATATTTATATTTTATTTTACTTTATATTATTTATAGTTTGTAATAGAATACAAGTATATATGTAATGATTTATTATCGATGGTTTATGATACACACTGCAATAAAAATCGTTTGAAAAGTTGTAATATTTTTTTATGAGATACTATGATGGTAATAATTACTAACTATAATATTATATATAGCGTCATAAACATAATCAGTATCTATTTGCAAATCCTTCTAACTATAAAGTTAAAAAGTCGACTGATACAGTATCCAAAACTTCAAACATATAAAAGTTGGATGTCTTCACACAGTATCTAAAAATTCAGAGCAGACAGAGAAAGCGTTCGGAGAGAAAGAGTTGGTTCCTCAAGAGTTTAATAAAACATTGCAATTCAGTATCGTTAAGAATGCCATCAATTTAATAAGTTTCTAAATACAAAAATAGTATAAAAAAGTATAACAATAAGGTAATTAATTTTTATTACAAAAGATCACATCATCACATTTATTATGTCACCGTCTCTGTTTTTCTAGAAAACTCCGTCGCCTACTATATCGACCGAAGCTTACAGGTCGAGTTTACTTCTACTAAAATCAGGTTTTCAGTAATTTTGCTGAGCAACAAGTAGCCGTGCCGATTGTAGGAAATTTTCCAAGTCTTAACAATGTTCTAACCCTTTGATAGATAGATGGCCATAAATGACTTATGTGAAAATTACTTGCTTTAGTTTTGATCTGCCATTCACTGTACTGATATTCACTATCAAAATTTCCATTTGGACCAATATGGTACTTTACTTAAAATTGAATAGCAATGCGGAAACCACAGTCCACAGAACTGGAATATTTTTACGGTGAGTCTGAACAGTTAAGCAACTGTGAAATTTTGGAATGCTGAATTAGTTAGTGGTCGTAAGAGTGTGTTTGATGATGATAAGATATTCTAGAAAAAGTTGTTCTGCTCATTACGGCGTCTCCTTTTGAAGGTTGGCGATCCAATTAGCAATCATCATCATTAGCTCCAAAACCCATGGTATGTCTTGGCCTGACAGACAAAGGATAAGTCTTCATTCTCTCCTATTCTTCGCCTTGGCTTTCCAGTTTCGTATTCCCAACGTTCTCAAGTTTTCCTCCACCTGATCCTTTAATCGTGCTCTGGGTCTGATTCTCCATCTATTCTTTGGTTATAAATACGTTTTGGCGGCTCCATCTCATCCATCCTCTCTATGTGACCTAACATTGTAGCCGGTTTATTTTGATGGACCTAATAATATCAGGTTTGTCATACAGGCGGTAAAGTTCGAAATTATAGCGTCTACGCCATAATCCGCCCTTCTGTACTCCTTCATAGATGTGTCGGAATATTTTACATTCAAAGCATCTTAAACGTTATTCATCGCTCTCTGTCATCTTCCATTTTCCGACGAGTATGTGAGGATGAGCTTGATAAGAGTTCCGTATATCACTAGTTTCGTTCGTTTTATAACTAGGCT